TGACCTTTCTCAAATTCCACGCTAGCGGTTGGTGTGAATTCGCAGTATTCCGTATTTGTCTCTGAACAGTGAGCTGCCAAGGGCCGTGGTTAAGTGAAGTCTGCTTAACAGGCATGTCTGTTCTTAAAATTTGCAGAAATCCCTTAGACCAACCGTCCCCTGTTGCATGAAAGGGTAACACTGCAGCTCTTGTAGTCTGTCGTTTTCCAACAGTGTGCCTGAGTCGGTCCCTGAAATTATCATCCAACAAACGAGGAAGAGCTGCTCAGGAAGGCAAGCGCATCGCTCATGCACATGAAGCATGGGAACAGTTGATCTGCAGCAAAGAGGTCTGGCCACGTTCCAGGTCCTAGGAAGTAATCCCGCAGAATGTGGAAGATTACAGCAGTATAGGAACGGCCGAGGGACAGCCAGATGAGAACAATGAGGTGTGGAAATTTGTGGTCTCCAAAAACACAAAGGAAGGGAGGAGGATGAAAAACACAATTGAGAAGAAAGTCAACAGTAATGCCTATACTGAAGCCTGTTGTTCCCATTGTACAGGAATTCTGCTCATCTCTGAGAGAACATGAATAGTGGGGTCAAACTAATGACCCACTCAGTTACTTGGTTTGTGTGTTGCTTCTTGGTGAGTCCCGGGGCTTGAACTCGGGGCCTGGGCACTGCACCTGGGATGTTTTGCTCAAGGCAAGCACTTGAGCCACAACTCTGTGTATGGCCATCTGGTGATTGATGGAGATAAGAATCTCACAGATCTCCATATTCCAGCCAGATTCAACCTGTGATCCTCAGATCTCAGTCTCATGATTAGTTACTTTTAATACACCACTTTTTTTCAAGACACATTTCCCTTTCTTTGTGTTCTCTAATTGTTCATAAGCCCTGCTTATTCAAAACCAGACAGAATAATAATACCTGCTTCACAAATACATGTTAATTTGATAAAATTAACTATATGGAGGCTGTTAAAATCATGAGTATTAACGTTTTAAACCATTTGACTTGATAAAAAAAACCCTAAAAGACAAAAAATCAGTTTTTATGCTGTTCATATGATTAGCACAATTGGTACCATATTTTCTAATTTTTCAAAGAACTGAGCTAAAAAACATCTAGCCAAAAGTTTCACACTATGTGAATTTGAGTAGAAATTTGAAGATTTATTATGGTGATTATATATCAGCAGTGATAAATATATGTTTCCTGATTAGGATTTTTTATCTGAAGAAAGTGAGCCATGGGGACATACTCTCAGAGCAAAAAATAAGCCATTGCAGAGTGTTTTGATAAATAGACAATATCCATATTCCTAGGTAGCATGTGGCAATGTGACAAATAAATTATTTTTAATAAAATCATTAAAGATTTTCATGAAAGATTAATGAGCATTAGTTAGGCTATAAAAGCATGAAAAGCATGTACAAAAAACAACTTGTAGTGCAGGAGGAAGTTGAGAGGCAATCTTGTTAGCATAATTGATCTCCTCCCTCATCTCCTGCACTGCGCCATGCGTGGCAGCAGCCCCAAAGGCTCTACGTCTACATTCAGCATCCAAAGTGAGGCTGAGCACAACTCCAGAAGGTTCCCCTGCTCACCTAGCAGGTCAGGGGCTACACTATAAAACTCAGATTTGTTTTGTTAATATTTGTTCTGCAACAAATATGAATATTTCATACCATAAAATTTACATAGCACAAAATGGAAAAGACTAAAGATACCTTTTTTACAATCTCATCAGTAAAAACGTTGAGTGTGTTGAATATTTTACCAGGTGTATATTCTTCCACTTTCATACATAGGGCAAAATTAAAATTTAGTTTTCTATGTTGTATATAAATGACAAATATCTTTTGGATACAAGGTCACATTTTATTACATATGGGAAAATGAGAAAGATTTGTCTTTCTAACCCTTGTTCCCATTTTCCTATTACCCAAGGTTAGTCCTTCCTGCTCAGCAAACAGTGGCATTCCATGGATGATTCTAGAGAACGCAGGCTGGCTGGCTTCTTTGGTAATCTTCGGTACTATTGATCACTGAGTGCACATTTCCTGGGGTAAGGGGCAGGGGCAGGCCAGTCTGTGCGCGTGCCCCCGTCTGCCCAGGCCCACACTGTGTGCTGTTTGGCAGGCAACATCGCCACGTCCCGAATAGCACGTCCTGCCTTGGTAGTTTAGTTTCAGGGTGACTTAAGGGTTCGTAGGAATCATTAGCAACCTGCTTTCACCTCAAGCTTCATTTGCAAAGTTATACTAAATATTAGAAACAACTGTTAATCACTGCTTTCTTATGCAAAGATCTATGCCTGGCCACCCTTCCCTTCCTGTATTTACCCCTCTATGCACGCAGAGAAGTTTCCTCATCTGTGAAATGGGGTTATGCATTCTAATAAGAACGGAGTGAATACAGAGAGCCAGGGACACAGAAAGAGCTGAGGGCTTCCTTGTGCCCCCCTTCCCCCACCCAGAGCTTCTCACCTGCTCCGCACCCACCCAGCAGTCTGTTGACTGCGGCCTCTTCTCCAGCCCCCAAAACACCCTCACTAGGAGAACTCTGCACTTAGATCTTGCTGCACCCCAGCCAGAGGCCAGCGGCCGGCCCTGTGTCGAGGACACCAGTGGTTTTATCTTCACATACGAGTTCCACAGGTAAATGTGTGCCTGGGAACTCCAGGTAGGGCCAGCCCTGTGCAGATGCACCACGGCCCGGCTGAGCCCGCTGGCTTCCTTATCTCGCCCTGCTTCCGTCCATTCCTTTGCAGGAACATCCCCTCAGGTAAATCACATCCCAAAGAACCCTTCCCTCTCGGCACCTGTGGGGAGTGAGGGGGACGTAAACACTCGCCATTGCTGTCCTGTGCTATCCATCCAGTATTCTGATTTATTGGGGGATAAGCCGACGGCCGACCAGGACCGTGCCTAATGAAGGGTACGGTTTTCCCACAGTCCCGTGAGTCTCTGTGCATACCTGCTGCTAGACACGGCATCTCCAGGCCCGTTGTGTACAGACTGATGACAGTCTGGGCTTTCCTAATGAATACAGCATGCCTTGAGGGATTTTTCCATGCATAGGTCAGAGCCTGGGTTGAATTGGGCCACTGATCATCACACAATGTCAAGTAAATGCCGGCCCAGACCTGACCGAGTTTACAGTTCAAGACAAATAATTGAAAGCTCCCTTAGCAAAGCAAGAAATTCAGGCTGTGGGTTTTCTGTGTTTTTTTTCTTTTAAGAATTACCCATGACCTTTATATCTGCACCTCCATGGCATAAAACACTCCACAGAGAAAATGAAAATAGCCACTGCCACCAAGTTGAGAAACTCCTGAACTCTAGAGCTCACAAGTCTGCAGCTATTTGATTTAGAGATCCTGGGACTGTGTGTTTACTTTTGTGTCTATGATAAATATTCTTTTATCTTCTGCTTTACTAAGAGTATCTTTAATTATATGCACATAAAATTCTATTTTGTCTTAATGACATATTACATTCTGAAGCAGAATTCTGCTTCTTCTGACTTTAGGTAATGTAATGAAAATACATATCTCAAAAATGAAAAAAAAAGAATTAGTGCTTTGTTCTGTTCACCCAGGATGACTGGAATTTAATGTAGTAATACAGCCTGCTTTGTATTAAGGTAAATTCCATTTCAAAAACACATGATAAGTGTTCTCTATTGCATTCTTTATGACATATTTTAAAATACCGAGAATCAGACAGCTTTACTCTCTTTGTGAGTCTGAGGTTGTCTAAGGCTGTTTGCTTTTGGATGTGTTTTATAAGAGAAACTTTTGACACTGGTAGAAATTAAGCCAGTTGTTCAAGGGGCAAGATGCATTTGCATTGCAGCAGATCTGTTAGGCTGGTCATTTATCCTGAGCCTCGGGATGGCCAGCGGGAGCGGCTCCACCACGTTGCAGATTCACAACCTCAGCCCTCCCATAAAATACACATCAAGCTCCCATTTTCTAGACAAAGAAACCAGATGCAGAAAATTGGGTCATTGAATCAGGAGAACATAAGCTGTGACCCAGCGCGGGCGGCGAGGCCGGCCCGGCCCGTGGCTGTGTGCCGTGTCTGACACCCAGACCCTGGCGCCTTCCCCAGCCTCCCCGCGCCCGGGGGAGGAGCCGCCCGTCATTTCTCACCAAGATCCCGCCGTGAACGCGGGTGTGGATCCAAGGGTCACGGCTGTTCGTCCATGCCGCGCGCTCTGGGCTCTGTGGTTCCAGAACCCATGGTCTCACCCATGGGGCGGCGGGGAGGCGTCCGGGCGCTCCCTGCCCGCGTCCGTCCTTGCCTGCGGCCTGGCAGAGCGCCACGGCAGTGGCTCGGCGCTCAGGGCACACGGGTGCCTCGCGTGGACATGGGGTCGCGCGCGGACAGCCTGCCCTTAGCCCTGGGTCTGCCCAGCCCTGACCATCGCTACAAGATGAAGGCTGAGGCTCGTGTGCGCTTGGTTGGTGCGCTGAAATAGAACGCAGTTTGGTGCGTGGGGAGAGGGCTTTGGGCCAGATTTTACCACTGAAGTGTAGAAGCAGATGTAAGCAAGACTTCTCAGCCAACACCTCCGCGTGTTCATCCTGAGGACTTGTAAACACAACGCGAACCACAAATCCTAAAGCCTCAGGAGCGACGATAGCGTCGGGACAGGGTCCGGGCTCTGGGCTGGACGCGAGCAGCAGCAGGTGCGTCCAGAGAGTGGGCTGTGGGCTGCATTTCAGTGTTTGTGTTACAAAGAGTTTCCTGTTGAGTATCTAACACACAGCTACTGCACAGCGGAATTGAAACACCAAAGATATCCATAAGGACTGATTACTCTCTAGGGAGCACTGGACTCCAGCAGTGATCAAGTCCTTCACTCCAGAGAGGGATGGGCTACATCAAGGCTGAGGAGGAGAATTGTGTGCGGCTGTACTACCATCGTATGGACGGTTGGTTGGGCCTTGTCAGTTGGTTGAGTGACCTGTGCCTTTCAGCAGCTGAATTCTGTGTTTTCAGAGATCGTCTACAGCTGGGTGTTTAACGAGTTCCCTTCCTTCGTGGTGGAGGACAGCCGGCGCTTCGTGTCCCAGCAGACAGGCAACCTCTACATTTCTAAAGTGCAGAGCTCAGACGTTGGCAGCTATATTTGCCTGGTGAAGAACACGGTGACCAACGCCCGGGTGCTCAGCCCTCCGACCCCGCTCACTCTGCGCAGTGATGGTAAGTGGCTGGCCTGGCGGCCCCTCGCCCCCCTGACCCTTCGTCCCTCTTGTCCCCCTTGTCCCCCGCTGCCCCCTCATCCCCGACGCACACAGCTAAGCCGGGGGGCCTGGCTGGGCCTTTGCACCCAATAACAAATGAAAGCAGAAGGCACACGCTGCATTTAGAAACGTGCCAGGTGTAGTCTGAGATGGAGCAGACAGAAACTTTTCATAACGCTTTAAGCGAGGACAATGATGACAATGAGGGGTGAATGAGAAACACCCACCCTCATGCTCCTCCGAAGAGGAGCGGGTGCGCAGTCCCCGCCTGGCCTCTGCCCTGTGCCGGGGCACGAGCGGCGGCTGTCACCGCATGTCACCTCAGCGGCCTACAAGTTGAAGCAGCAGCTTTTAATGGTGCTTGATACAGTTATCATTGTCATTATTTTTTCCAATAATAGGAACAGTTGGAACTTTAACTTTTAAGAGCCATTCGGGCAGATACCATGAGGCCACCTATCTGAAGTATCTTACATTTAAACACCTCATTTGTATTTAGAGACATTTACCGTCAAGCATGGCATTGGGGGTTCCCGTGCTGTTAGAGCTGACATGCAGCGCGCTCTGCCACGCAACAGAAATTATCTACGAGGGGTGCTTGAGCATTCTGATTGATCTTGAAGTTTAAGAATGATGTATTTCAATACTGTCATTTGTTTTTTAGAATATATGGTGCTAAACTGTATGACTAGAGCTGTGTCACAAGAGTTTCACTTACAATTTAGTGTGTGTATGTGTGCATGTATACACACAGTGAAGTCTGTGAGACTTTATAAAGACCATAACTATGAGTGGTGATATATGCTGTATGTTTTAGTAGTAACTCTACCGGGTAGAGTGCACAGTACCTGTTTAGGGATGGGAGCTAAGCGCCTGGTTTGCTCTCTCTGACCTCAAGGAATCTGTAACTTGAATTCGTCTCCCCACGCCCTCACCGGTACTGTTCTCCACCCCATCCAGCTGTGGCTGAGAAGGTTCTTATTAATGAGCTCAGGAAAAGTAATCAGCCGATAATGCATGTGTATACAAGGTGTTTATTTTTATGGCAAGAACTGTGTCAACAAGGAGAGTGTGCACAGAACTACCTAATTGCATTATCTACGAACCCAGCCATTAATCCACAGTTGACTGACAAAGGAAGCGGCAGGCCTCAGAGGCCGAGTCCGGATTCTACTTCCTGGGACTGTCGCCGTGGCCCAGGAGCTACGCGGTGGGATGAGGTGAAGGGTTGGAAGTGCAGACCCTGTCCCAGGACATCGAGAGGGCCCTCAGTGACGCACGGCGGCCAGGCAAGCAGAGCGCCGGGAAGCAGGCAGAGTGATGCTGGGTTGGTGGAGTGGGGTTACAGTACAGACCAGGGCGAAAATATGTCAAGACTTCCACCAGAATCTAGAGAGAGCCCGAGCATAGCTCCTCCCCAGACAGCGTGGCTCCTCCCCAGACAGCGTGGCTCCTCCCCAGACAGCGTGGCTCCTCCCCAGACAGCATGGCTCCTCCCCAGACAGCACGGCTCCTCCCCAGACAGCACGGCTCCTCCCCAGACAGCACGGCTCCTCCCCAGACAGCGTGGCTCCTCCCCAGACAGCACGGCTCCTCTCCAGACAGCATGGCTCCTCCCCAGACAGCATGGCTCCTCCCCAGAC